CTGTAGTCAAAGATATACTTCTGCCAGCCTGTAGTCTAAGGGTTGGGTGCAATTCAGTAGGTATGATGCCACCAGAGCTTTCCAAACAGTGTGCTCCAAACACGTGTTGCTTTTTAAAATTAAGTTGTCCTTACAAAGATTGATTTTAAAAAATCTTGCATTTCCAGTATTAGAAATCGAAGTGATCAACTAGATAATTTAAAAGGAAAAAGCCTTGAAATAAACTGTATTGATAAATAAACTGTTGATTTTTTTGCATTTTTTTGCTGCCCAAGTGGTAAAAAGGCACAAACCCTCTCTTTTTTTTGTAATTCAATATTACCTTGGGGTTCAAGAAATTACTTCAGTACTCTTCCCCAAGGATTTTTTTAAGGAAGAGAACAAGTGAGAGAGCAAGGAATTTTGACTTCTTGGAGATGAGAGCTGTGAGTTCTTTTTCAAAGAGGTGATGCTTGTGATGAAATGTCTTGACTGTAAAATCTACCAAGTTATGTATTTCTTGTTAGATAATTCCTGGTCACTGTCTGTGTACATACACTGAGCCACAGTACATTCCTTATTCTTCAGTTTGCAATTTAAGCTGCTTTTGCAATAAGCCAAGTGACAGTGAACTGCTTCAACTGCTCACTGTGGTTGAGAATTGTGCATGTGTACTGAAGGGCAACTGATGGACATTGAGTTAAGTCACAGTGTATAAGGAGTGACACATGCATGTCCTGAAAGTCAGTGGAGTAAGCACGAGATCACTTGTGATGAAGCAGAGGCTGAAGTGTCATGTTTAGCTATGAAAACCACTTGTGATAAGAAGTAAAAGCAAATCTTTTTCCAGATGAGAGAAAGCATGGATGAAAGATGTAGGACAGAGGGGAAGACTGAAATAATAACAGCTCTTAAGGCTCCCCATTTTTCTCCGTTTTGATTCTCCACTTTCTCATCTCTCCAGTCTCTCATCTCTTTTTCATTTCTCTTCTCTTCTTTAGCCTCTGCCTACCTTTACCATAGGACAGTCCTCCTCAGTAGGAAGTTGCGATCATGCTTCTTAGCTCACATGTGGGTGTAGAAAACCTTTCTGACCTCTTTGCAAGCAGTTCAGCTGAAGTACTGGGGTGTGCTGTTGGGCCAGCAGTGTGGGAGTGCTGCAAGGCTCCAACTCATGTCTGTGGGTACAGGGATGACAGCAGTAGTAGGTCTGTCAATCCCAGTGCACCTCTGCTGGGAGCTGCAGCATCTGTGCAGGAATGGTATTATTTGCAGTAAACAGAGTTTGTGACTCATCAATCTCCTCTGTTCTATTTCAGATCTTTTCTGGCCTCTTAGTCAACCTCCCTTCAGTAATGGGCTGGCTGAACTGGCTCAAGTACTTCAGCATCCCCCGATACGGCCTCACTGTGAGTAGAAAGTAGCATTGGTCTCCTCTGAGTAATGTAGCCACACTGCTGCTTCCTGGAGACATTTTGAGTATAAAGTATGAAGTTCTCTTAAAAGCTAGATTTGGTTGGTTTCATTGCATGAACATGGTAAAAAAAAAAAAAAAAGAATAAACCAGCCAGCCTCAAAAAGGAAGCGAAATTTAGAACTCTGTGTGAGAGCTGGAAGTGTTAGGGACTGAACAAACATTTTGTGCTACAGAATTAGTGCTGCTTGGACAGCTGCAGAGCAAGCTGTCCAGTCAGGCACTAATTGCTAGCCTGAGTAGGTTTAGAATAAAATCAAGTATTGTACAGCCTCTCCAGACACTACTGTATGGGTGGCCAGTCTGGGAACAATGACTTTCCAACTGGTTAAAGGATTTACTATAGTGCATTAGTGTCTCAGTCTTCAGTGTGGCTTCCTCTGAAATGAAATTTGACTTTTCTGAATAGTAAGGAGCTGGGGTACTAGAAATCTGAGGGTGCAGCTGCTTGAAACACAGCAAATAGAGCAGGTTACAGGTGGGAGTTGTGTTTCCATTTCCTGTTTGCATCCTTGCCAAGCCTCTTTGGAAGGAATAGTGTCCTACTTCAAGTAACAATGACTGAAATGAATACTGGAGCTGGTGCAGGGTGGGAGATGTGTGAGACCTCATTATTTGGGTATCACTGAGATGGTTTTTCAGTGTTACTCAGTGTGGAAGTGTCCTCTGAGATAGCAGTGAGTGCAAGATGCTAGAGCTGGGCAACCTTTCACCTCCTGCTTTGGCTGGCTTTGCCATGCCTTCAGTGTGGTGATGCTGGGGTATCTGCATGCAGCCACATGATTTTTTGGATCAGTAGATTGACCCAGGTGAATGTAGATGAACAGGAACTTGTAGCTGGCAAGACAGAAACCTGTAAGTAACTTTGAAGCCAAGGCCTGAGAGACCAACTTGGAGTAGTTGCTAAGAAAGGCAGTGTCTAAGAGCTTGAAAAATAAAAAGGAGCATGAACATATGATTCCAAGAATGGTGGTGTGTGTATTCTAATAATCAAGTTCCTTTGAAGCGTTTCAACAGAAGTTCTAACAGTGCAAACCGTGAACTCTGCAGAAATCTGGCGTCTTCCTTTTTCCCTAGGCTCTTCAGGTGAATGAGTACAGAGATCTCTACTTCTGTGGTGAGAAGAATTCAAATGCTACAGTGTTAGTGGGAGACACAGGCAGTTGTCCCCCCAATATTACAGAAGAAATGTAAGTAACTCATGGTGGTTCTGGCCCCGATCGTGATGGCTTGCTTAAAGGGAAGTCTGACTGTCAAATTTTTGTACTATTTGCAGAATAACCACTTACAAGCCAGTCTCAACAACATGTCCCAAAGTAATGTATTTTAGGATATACAGTAAAACTCCACGGTTACCCAAGAGTGATGTAGGGATGAAACTTTACTTGTAAAAATAGACAGATGAGCTAAATTAAGTTTTGTCTTTGATAACCTAGCCATAATTGATCAGTTTTCCTAAACAAATCCAGGGTAACTTACCAATGGAAATGCACTGTGTGGACAGCTACAGAATTGCTGGAAAGCAGTAGACCTGTGATCAGAAATATGCCTCCCCCACAGAACTTTTTAATATTAACCTCCCTGCAGATACAGAGAGAGCCAAGGTATCTCTTTTGCAGTGCTCCATTTTGCCCCATTTGAAATACTCTTGGCTATTGATACCTTAAGCTGTAGCAGTGCAACTATTTTGTGATTTGTACTAGAAGGATGGCAGGCTGAATATTTTGCAGGGAACAGTGCTAGAGTACTGTTTCCATGGCTTTTGGACTTCCAGTGATTGTTGAGGGGAAGCTAATGCTTCTGTACTTACCATGGTTTAAGATGGTTCTGAGGTTTCCTCATAAATTGCCAGTTATCTATAAAGAACAATTAGGTTGCTACTGAAAAAATTGAGAACTAGAGATATAGATTTGTCCCTTGAGTTTTATTTGGTGATGGGTTCTCTATTTTATCACCTGTTTTGCAGAGTTGAGGGTAGAAGGATCTTTGTAAAACAGGAATAAAAGTAATTACCTGAAGATGTGTGCTACGTAGTAATATGAACTTGTGCCTCGTGCTTTTCTGCAGGTGTTCTGGTGAAGCGTACCTGTGCAGCCAAGGAATTGCCCCTACCAGCTGGGCAATGTGGGAAAACATCGTGGCTCTCTTCTGCATGACTGTTATCTTCCTTATCATTGCCTATGCAAAACTCCGGTTCATGAGGAAGTTCACATAGACTCCTGTGTTGCCTTGCCCTGCAGCTTCTCAGGTGTTAAAACTGCAAAGCTTGTTAGGGCCTACTGGAGATTGCCAAAATGTTTCAGCTGACTTTGCTGGACTTCAGATGGGAAGCCTGTTCCCCTGTTTCTGGAGCATGATCTCCACAGGATTGTGGGTTTTAAGAAGAAATGCATTAATGTACATTGTGTAAGTGATTTTTCCTAACAAAATACAATTATCATAATTCTTAGGTACATATCAAACTTTATATTGTAAACTATTATTATTCTGTGGCCAGCTTATACACAAAATATTCCATTGAACATGTGAGCTTCTCCATCACAAAAGGTGGAAGATGATGGTGGCATTTATACAATGATACATTGTCCCTTGTTTGTGCTTGTCACATCTGAAGAGAGACAGAGACCGTTCACAATGTGTTGGAGATGCATTTGAGTTTGAAGTCAGTACAGAGACCAAGCACTCATTACCAGGAAAGAACAGTTGTACTTGTAGTAGCTTCTCAGTGGAAGCTACTTCCAGAAACAACTTTAGCTTTATTAAAAACTGAATAGCAGTGGTGTTAGACATCTCACCTAAGAAGATAAATATGTACTGTTGTACTTAAGAAAAAAAGAACCAAAAAACTTCCCCCCTGCCCTGAACAGCAAGAAATATATTTACTACTTTAAAGGAGGAGAGAGAATGCCCCTTTTCTTTACTAATTTCTAAATAAAAATTTGTATACTTACTCCTGGCAGAATTTTTTAACAACAGATTCAGTTCTTAGCTGCACTTTCTGTATATAGTGCTACTTACACTGTGCACTGAAAAAAAAATCTGTGTAGATACGGCTGTGGCAACTACAGCAACACGTACCACAGTCCCCACAGAACTATCGTGCCACTACTTGTCTCCTGGCCACCTCATCAGCAGCAGAAGAGATGCTTTTAAATCGCATTAAGACCTGCAGAGGTAAGCGGATCAGCTAAGCCAAAGGAAGACATCCTCAAACCCAGGACTGAAGTTTTCCTGTGAGGGTCGGGCTGGCGGCAGCCCCTGAGCCGGGCGGGCGGTGTGAGGGTCCTGCCGGTGCTCTTGCAATGAGCGGTGCGTTGCGTGGGAAGGGGGAAACGATCGTACTGACAGCACAGCCGCATCGAGCACAAACCAGGCGCTCTCGGTTCGGCTTCACTGCCTTTAACGGCTGGGGCAAAGTAACCTCGTACCACGTTTTACACCTCGGTATTTGTCTCCTTCAGCCGCGTCCCCGCAGTGCCGGCACACCGCACACCTGCCCGGGCCGCCCCTCAGGGGCGGAGGCTCCGGGGCTCCTCCTTGCGCCGGGCGCGGGGCGGGCCCGGGCCTGGCGCGGGCTGGAGGAGGCGGCTCCGGGCCGTGGGAGCGGCTGTGTGCCCATGGCGGCCGCGGCGGAGGGGACGCCCGAGGCCGGCGCGCAGCCCGTCAAGCGTAAGGGGCTTGACGGGGTGCGGGGCCGGGGTGCGGGGCTGGGCCGGCTGGGCGCTGTGCGGGGAGGCCGCGGCGCGGGCAGGAGCTCCTGGCGAGCCCGCGGGATGGCGTGTGCCGGCCGGGCCGGGCCGGGCCATACACCTTCTGCCGCTGCTGCCCTGGGGACCCGCCGGGTCCTGCCCCTGCCGCCGCTTCGGTCGGAGGGAGCCGCGGGCCTCGGACAGCCTTCGTGTGCGAGCCGGCAAACGCCGCCGACGGGGGAAGGAGCGGTCTGCCGGGTTGGGGAAGAGGTGCCGGACTGCTCCGGGAAAGGGCCGAACAAGGGCAGATTGCGGTAGAAACGGGTTTGGAGAGGAAAAGCGGCCATTGCGGCTTTCCGCAGGTGGGGATCTGTTGTAGCCCCTATGAAGCGGGCTGGGGCAGCTGTGCTTCTTTTCCGAGTCAGTGACTAGAAATAAACAGCAGCACCATGCACAGCCACTCAGAAGTTCTCCCCAAATGGCTTTCCTGTCTGAACACGAGGGGGGCCAATACTTGTCAGTGCAGGGTGCCTGTCTCTTGAATGCTCCCTGAAGTATTTTTTGGAAATAATGTTGGTGCTACTTCGAAGAAGCTGCCATGATTTGTTACCCCTTAACAGTGTAAAGTGTAAAGAAGGCAATTTACATGGAAAGTAGCCATAGCAGCTTGAAGGGGGAAAAAATGGGACCCTATAATCTTTCTGTTGTGCTTCCGGACTTGGCTATAGTTTGCTTTAACCCTGTAATGTCTTTACCCTGAGTAGAGGATCCTGCTGTTGAAACTGCAGAGGAAGCTAAGGAGCCAGCAGAAGCAGATATCAATGAACTCTGCAAAGACATGTTCAGCAAAATGGCCACTTACCTGACAGGTGAACTGACAGGTAAGGCACTGCAATACTGACCTGCAAGTTCTTCTTTCTTTTCACTTTGTTTCAAAGAAATCTGTTGGATAGTTTGTTAAAACTGTAACTATTTCGATTGTGTCTGGTAATTTGGCTGTCCAAATTTGGCACATTGCTAGGCTGCTAACAACACTGAGATTAGTTATATTAATTTAATGAAGTCCCAGAATAGCACAAATATTTTTCAGAACAATTCAGTGTGATATCAGCAGCTTAAAAATAATTCTTTTTCATCTCAAAGAAGTTTGTACATGGAAAGTCAATCTAACAAAAGTGGTCTAGGTTAAGACAGAGTAGGAGGGAGGCATCACAGATAGTGGAGTCATTTTTTTCTTGAGAGCAAGGATCATACATGTTTTCTAACATTTATGCTTTAGAATAAACTGATGTGCAAAATTAACTGGAGCAAAGTAAACTGCTCACCAAGTTAATTGCATAGTCTCTAATTTTGAAATCACTCCTGATTTGCAGACTTGAAGGATATATGGTACAAATTACCAGTCTGAATTTGTGCTATCAGTTTTGTAAACTTAAGTGTCTAACTGACAGAATTAAAAATAGAAATATGAGGACTTAGTAATTTTTTTTCAAAAAAAGTTTAGAAGTAAATTCATCAGTGCAGTTGATTTTTGCAGTTCACAAAATGTCATCTCTTTGTAGAGTGTATGCCAATAACCTGTATTGCCATCTAAACTGCTGTGCTTCATTTGGCTGTTGGTTTGAAATCTCTTGTCCTCTTGAAGAGTCTTCACACAATTCAAACCACATCACCTTTAATTAAAATATACTTTATATTTTTTTAAGCCACCAGTGAAGACTACAAACTCTTGGAAAACATGAATAAGCTGACTAGCTTGAAGTACTTAGAAATGAAAGATATTGCTATAAACATCAGTAGAAATCTGAAGGATTTAAACCAAAAATGTAAGTACACCAAATAAGGTAGGGGTGTCGTGATTGGTGCACTTGTTTGGGAAATAAAGCATCTTAGAGTCAGAAGGTTCCATTAGCACTCCATTAGTGCTGAAGGAAAGAAAACTCACTGATATAGGTGTGCTGCTATGCAATGCCAGTCTTGTGTATTTCTTAACAGCTTTAGACTCTGTAGACTACTGTAAGAGAAAATACATCTGAATTTGTGTTTACCTGGTTTACCCCAGACTCTGGATTTGATAGGAATAACACTTATTTTAATTCATGTTCTCTTGTTACTTGTGTTAGAGACTGGACAGTACTCTTAAACATTTAATATTTTCCTGGAACATGGCTGTCTGAGTCACCACTTAATTTTGGGATGGGAGAGGGCACCTTTTGTACTGTCCTATCTGAAGAATGTAATAAATTCTTGTGTTTCAAGTGTGAACTGTTTCTTTGAAGTGCATTACTGAGAACTGACAGATATCACTTTTATGCTTTTTTAAGATGCTGATCTTCAGCCATATCTGGAACAGATAGACCTAATTGAGGAACAGGTCGCAGCTCTGGAGCAGGCAGCTTATAAATTGGATGCATATTCCAAAAAACTTGGTAACTATCGTCCTCCACTGTTAAGACCTAGCAGCATAGTGCCTTGCAAGAGGATTTAAAAAGAAAGAAGGAAAGTAAACGCTGTTTTGTTTAACAGACAAACTCTGCAGAGTTGCCTGTGCTGCTTTTGAGCAAATGTTGTGTGTGAAGTGATAAGCATTGGGAAAAGATTTGCGTAATGAGTTATGTTACAGTGGACTAGTACAGGTGTTGTTAAACTACTGCTTGTTAGTGAGGCTTGATTTCTTTTTTATGGTAGGCATTGACTTATAATTTAAAGACTGATGTTTAACCTTGCAAATTGAGGGATTCATAATCTTCCACCAGCCACCCAAACCCTCTTGGCTTAAAATAATATTATTGTCTGACTTAACACCAGGCTCTTAAAAAAAATTGTTATACAATTATATCTGCCTAAATGCCGTAGAAAAAAAGGATTGTGAATGATACAGTAAGTTAGCTTACAGCATGCAAAGCTTTTACCTACCCAGTACTAAAATAGTATTTTTCCTTCTGCAGAAGCCAAGTACAAAAAACTGGAGAAACGATGAAATTACAATAGTCTGTAAGCTGGAGTTGGGCAGCACATCGGACTGATCTCTGGTTTTGCACAACAGCAATTCTGTTGACAAGGATTTGGTTTACAGCTGACATGGAGACTGGGACATTTTCCAGCTATTGGTAGGCTGTATTCAGGCTTAAGGCTGAATAATATTTTCCTCTTCTCAAGGGGTACTGTTGCCTCAGTTCTGCAGTGAAAAATAGAAGCCTGTCTTTAACTCATGTCGATATTGGCTATATGTGTGTTAGTCCTGTTTTCCACATGAAATACTCAGTCTAGGGAAAGTCTTCTGTAATCTGTAAAGACATTTTCCCTTAGTAGCAGCAGGACCTAAACTTCAATTTTTCCTTCATTGAGCTCTGTGCTGGGAAGATACCTGGACCTTTGGACTTAATGGGTGGAGTATTGAAAACACTTCATTTTGGTGTCCCCTTTTATCTGTTTGAAATAGAGAGACTAATTACAAATTTACAATAAACTTGCTGAATATATTTCTCTGGAATCTCAAGTTCTCTTGGAAGGATTACATGGGCCGTTTTTTTTTTTTTTCAAAGGGGTCTGTTGATAAAGACAAACTCGTTCAAGCTACTAGGGATGATAGAAGAGACCATGTTTGAAACTGCATCAAGTATTCTTGCAATTATATTCTTTGACTGTCTGGACCTCTGGTGAAGTTTCAAGATGTAGTACTTTATCACATGCTCAGTTGACTTAGCAGACTCTTTCTCTACTTCACCAGTGAATTTTCATCCTAGTAGTTTCTGAAGTGGCATGCCTACCACAAAAATGTACTTCTCTGCTAGGTTAACAATGTTCCAAATTGCTGATTTGGCAGAGCCCTTTGTACTGAACAGTTATTTGTCTTACTCCAAGGATATTTTTTCTGTACCTGTTAACGTTAAGTAATTCAAGCTGGCTTTTGAGTGAGTTGTAGTTGAAGGCAGTACAAGTACTGTATGTAGGAAGGAAGTGGTTCAAACTTGGAGTGTTCAAAAGAATGTCTAGTCAGGTGCTAGTGTGATAAAGATCATCATGCTGTCAGGCTGCGTACAGCCACTATTTAGTCAGGATAGACACTTTTCCCTAGTGCTCTTTGAAAAGAATGAAGCAGATGAGTTTTGAGAGCCTTCACCATCACTTGGAAAATCCTGGGTTTGAAATAGAAATAGCATTTCTGTGCTCACAGTGTTACCTGGCAGGACCGCAGGGGGATACAGGGAGGCGCCATGCCAGCGGGGAACACCACTGATCCCACAGGAAAGGCACAGGATGGACTATGTCCTGTTCCGCTTGAAAAAGTTGCTTTTCTGTGTATACAAAATACAGTGCCATTTTAAAACTACAAGGATGAAAACCTCCAGGAGCTCTGAAGATGGAAATCCTTCTAGCCATGCACTGTCACCAAGTGCTCAGTGTTTTCAGGTAAAAAAGGTAAGAAATAGGGAGTTCCTTCACAAACTCTTGAGTATTCCACCTCCAGGAAGTAAAAATGAGAGAAAGGGTTTGTCCCACAATGGACTTTCTTTTTGAGAGGAAATTTTAGAGATGGACTTCCTGGCTGGCTGAAGGACTGTGTGACAGTGGCATTCCAGTGGGGCTAAGAGCTGACAGCTATGCTCTCAGTTGTGTCTCTGAGTAATTGTTACCCTCCCTGCCTGAGGGACCTCTGTGTCACTGGTAGAATCCACATCATGTCAGGGATGGCATGTCCTTGGAGAGCAGCACCATGGAAGAGACATAGGTGTGTGTGAACAGCATTGTACTGGGGAAATGTGTAGTCAGTCCAAAAGCAAAGCCACAACTTGGTTACTGCTCAGATGTTTCACCTGGAGAATCCTTGAGAAATTCCAGAGGAGGTACAGAAGGAGGTTAAATCTCAGAGTTCTCCTTTGCAGCATTTTCTGGTGGAAAATAGAGTAAGAAAATAGTGTGTTCTTAAAAGGAGGAACAGGAGGAAAACAGAAAAGGGAGGGCTGATGGATGAGAGTCCAGGGGCAAAGTGTGTCATCAGAATGGTCTGCAAACCACTTTGGAGCTGAAGCAGTTCTTGATGTTGTGGACTGCAACTGCAAACCAGGGAATGAAAATCAGCCTAAATTGATTTGCTGCTAATGTCCCCGAGAGGTAGCACTTGCTGTGTATTTCACAGGAAAAACTTTTAATTTTGATGCTATTTTTCACTCTCTTTCTTGAACTGCATCTTTTCTTATCTTCTGCTAGGTATCTGTGACTCTTTGTCCATTAAACTCTTTTTCAGAATCTTTAGAATTACATCTTTTAGTATGATAATAATTTGTTTTTTGGTCTGGCAGTGTGTCTGATATGGGCGCCGCCATCTTGGATGGGGTCGCTTCCGGGACATCACATCCGGTTCTCACGCTCGGCTGGGAGGGGGCGTGTCCCTATAAGGTGGCTTTCCACCTAACAGTTGAGAGAAGCTTCTAGGCTTCTTTCCTTTTTTGGGGGACAAAAGTTAGTTTTGCCACTCTGTCATTAGGAAGCGCATTCCTACAGCCTAGCAAATAACAGCTCTTTTAGAAGAAGCAGAAGCGTTCAGTTCCAGAGGAGAATTCTTTTCTTGTCCAGCATCTTAAGACGGTTCTGCCCAGCTGCACTAACAGGTTATTCCAAAGTCATTCAAGTTTCAGAGCAGTACTTTGTGGAGACGCCTGCAGTGTTCAGAATCAGGGCATATGGCTTTAGCCCTGCTCTAATCCCAAAGCCCACTTCATACCATGGTGGAGTCTCCAGGCGCTAAAGTTGTTTTGCTGATCTACATTGGCTGCCTCCTTGACTTCTCAGCATGAAGGAAGATAACTGCAATAAGAAAGCTGCTCCCTCATTTGTTTTGGCTATTTTAGTCATGGCACAGCTAAAGAGGAAGTACAGTGCTTTCTTCTTTTTATCTGGTGAGAGAATTTATTTCTGTGATTCTGGGGAATTTGTGGCTTTTTGTCTTTGCAATACCATGCTAGTAATGCATAGTATATCTAGCTTATTAATCTTTTAAAGGAAGCAAGTTCAGTCTGTTTCACATAAACAGTTAATGGCATTGTGGTAATATTACAGTTCTGTCTTTTCCCACATAATATAGATTCAGCTCTCTGTCTTCACTGTAATCACTATATATTATACATTGATGGGAATGTGTTCAAGACAGGAAATGCCAGCCATTGATCTGTACATATATGCTTGGCAAGTCATATAAACTCTATTTATTAATTTTTTCCTGATTTAACATTGCTGTAATGATCTTTATGTACTTCATAAAATATTGGGAAGATGCAAGCTGGCATTCATCTAGGAAAAGGTACTTGGGGGGATCCTGGTATTACTTAATTTGTCCTTTTTCTCCCCAGTGAACAGCTCTGTAACCACATTTGGGGTTCTAATGGGTCCCACGGGGTCAGTGCAGCTTTATCCAAAATTAGGAATGGACGTTTATAGATCATTAACCAGCTCATTCTTCAAGCCATAGTACATTTCATATGAGTGAAATGAAGCAGTCAGATGTGTACAGGACTTGAAAGAGATTTTGGAGTATGAGCTTTGTGGACACTGGTTTTTCACTAAAAGATGTTCTGGAATATCAGGAAAGCAACAATTCAGTATACTACTTCTTTATTTTGCAGTATAAACTGTAATTTCACAAACCCTCATTGTAATTACAGAGGATAACCTGTCTGCCCAGTCACTGATAAACTCTATCCCCATCACAGTAGACAGTAAGTATTGGGGAAAGAGTTCTATAGATTATCATCTAACACAAAAAGCCTCTTGTTTTATGTTTGCCTTTACAAACAGATTACAAACAAACTGAAAGTACGGAGAGGTACTTCAAGCAGAGTTTGTAAAAACCCTGTAGTACAAGCATCTATTCCTGCTGGAACCCCTCAGGTGATAGGAGCAGCAGCAGGGCTCTCGGAGAACCAGTGCAGACAGCTTGGCATGTCAGGAGCCAGACAGGAACCACAGCTGGGTGAGGTACGTGCAGAGAAGAATCTGTAATTTTGCACAGGGTACTGTGTCCTTCCCTGTGTGATTGCCTACTCTGTTAAGAGCTGGCTGTGGTGATTATAAAGGCACCATACAATTTTCTTTTCTAAGCACTCTTCTCTCCATAAACTATCTACCAAATGGTCTGGTGTTTCATTCTCAACAGACTGGGGAATGACTGTCTGGCTCACTGCCAGAGCACTCATGAGTTTGGGAGCTGGAAACTCTTCACTTGCCTAACGTGGAACAAAAGAGACCTCATAGTGTCGGGGCAGATTTGCCAGACTGGTGACTATTGGGCTAATGTCAATGTCTTTGTGATCCACAACAGGCTTCAAAGTAAAGTTCTGCAGGATGGATGTTAAAAATATGAATATCTCCATTCGGGCCAGACCTTCTCCTGCACAGATGCGTTTTCCTACAACAACAACAACAACAACAACAACAACAACAAAAAAAAAAAAGTCACAGTGGAGTACTTTGCTGATAACTGATTTTAGCCACAGTTCCATGAAAATTCAGACATCTCAGAATGCAGAGGCAGCACTACAGTATTTTGGGGAAGCATGAATGAAACTAGGAAGTGAAGGTCTAGAACAACAAGAATGCTAAGTGTGTGAAGGCAGTTTGAAGGCTCTGGTTGCTCAAGTTCTGCTGCTGTTTGATGGTTTGAGAGACAAGTTGTATGACTGAGTCCCACTTCATACACATCTTGTAGAAGGCATTGGAGGAGTTCTTGTGTTTGCTAAAAAAGGAAGTCAGCGGAACTGTAGTGCAGGGGTTAGAGCTTCCCAGAAGTGACTCTAGAAGATGTCACCTGACATCGTTGTACAGACAATGGTGATGGGGCCATGAAATCTTCAGAGAGATTTCAGGAGAGGATGGTTTAGGATCGGAAATAGCAAGAGGTCTTACCTGTAGAAAATGGCATGAAGTAGTCACTCTTTTTAAAGGTACCATTTGCATTCAAGAAATGTCCTGGGTCAAATTTTTCTGGATTTGGAAATTCCTTGCTATCATGTAGGACAGAGCTCAGCACAGGGAATATCAGAGTGTCCTGAATTAACAAAAAAGAAAGGTATAATGGAGATATGTTAAAGCAAGGAGGCACTAAGAAGTTCTCAGAGCTAAACAGAAGGGTAGTCAAAGTTTAACTAGTTTTAAATGAACATTTAATGCATGAAATATGTGCCATTGGTATGGCAAAGACGTTTTTTAGTGAATTTTAATAGTCTGTTTAGAATATTTAATATTGCTTCCAAATAAATTACAACTTACACTGATGTGAGAAAAAAAAACCCCAGAAATATCTCCCTCTTCATACAGAGGATGCAAAAGTATTTTCTTATTTTTTTTTCTAATACAAGGGATTGGACACAATAACTTCCAGAATCCCCTTCCCAAAAAAAAAATCATTTCAGTATCACATTTGAATGCTTTTGAAAATAAATAAATAAAATACAAAGAACTAAACTCATCATGGTTTTCAAGAGAT